GTCAACTAATTTCTTATTAAATCTTAATTACTTAGTCACTTTTATTATTTATTGAAATTTATTTTAATTTTTATGAAAATTTTAAGAAAAATTTATTATATATATATTTTTTAATTTAATTTAATTTTTAATGCAACAGAAAATTATAAGGTTTAAAAGACAATATAGAATTTAAAAAATCTAAATAATTAAAAATTAATTTTCTCCGACGAATAATCTTGTTTGTCAGTTGGAACATCACATTAAAATTAATTTCTAGGAAATCAAGCCTAACGGACGCGTTGTTCACGCGAGCGTTATCGCTAATCTTAATTAAAATAGCTTAATTATAATCTCCTAAATGTTGGAACGTAATTAACGAATTTTCCGAGCATTTCTCTCTATCTCACTCTATCCTCCCTCTTCGTCGAAAATGACAACCTTATCGGAGAAAGCTTCCGATACACAAACGCTCGGTGGTTGGTACATGAGTAATCAAAGTCGCTGTCCATTGACAAACGCGGATAACGAATGCTTGCACATATTCGCGTAGGAAATACTCTCGCCATCGGCTATCAGTGAAACGACTTCTCTTAAGTGTACGCCGAAACGAACGGATAATCATTGGCAAAGCGTAGACTATTCGCTCGTGTGCCGACTCTGTAAAATACGTTTAACAAAAACTTTTTTCGTCGAATCAAGCAGCCATTCGATATTTTTATTACGCAGCATATTTGAAATTGAATGGCGAAAACGCTTTGCAGGAAAACGTATTCAAGACATCAAAGGATACAAGGCACCAGTGGTTAAATCACTTTGAAAAATTGATACGTTTAAAACATATAAAACAAGATTTTTTTAACAATTAATTCTTTTAGGAAAAAAAGACAATACGGGAATTATGTTTAATATATATTTTAGAATTAAATGACATTAGAGTGTCTCTATCCGTTTCTTTTTACTCTTTTGAATAGAAAATATATTATTATATTCAAGTATGGATATGTGTGTATACTTTACTCTTTCTACATATTTATCTTCTATTCTGCATAATATCTTCATTTATATTCTTGTATAAAATAATTGATTAAATCATCGATAAATTCTCATTAATTTCCCATTAGCACTATTCGAACGTAATAATCTCGAAAAAAGAGGCGACGAAAATATATGTCAGAAAGGCTTCGAAGAATAATCGGAATCATATAAAGTATCACTATTAACTCTCTTTCGGTGACCTCGAGCAATCATCGCATCCGGCAAGTGAAAAATTTAAACACACTAAATATTATTTCGTTTTCTGTCCGAGTTTTTGAATTTACAACTAGATTACGTGCCATTATATTTAAACATGATATATATTCTTTTTCGGACACACACGTTTTGTTTAAAAAATAAGCACGAAACTTGAGTTTTATTCGCATATACTTAACTGTTCGTGAAAAGTTTTATAGATAAATTTTTTTTTTGAAGCCCATATTTCAATTTTTAAAGTTTCTTCAAAACAATAATTTTACAAAATCTGCCTTGCACATTTTAATATCTTCACGGTACGTTATAATGCCTTTTATTAGCATAGAATACATTGAATAACCAATTTAGCAGTTATAGCTGAAATAGGCTATAAAGGATAAGTATCCTAGTTTAGCGATCTTACTGCGATCGGCTGTGAACATTAATCGAGCGCCCTTACGCCTTTAACAGCTCTTAATAGAGACGCTTCCACGTGCTTACATTATGTTGTCGCGTGAGATAGAGTCATTCTGAAGGAAGGATTACGCTGATATCGCAACGACGATCTCGAGAGGCACGTAAAGAGATATGCATATATATACTCGGTGAAATTTCTCGGCATAAATCATACGCCATCCTTTCTCTGTTCCGATGTATTCTCTGCTCGCGATAACGATTATCGATGTTTCACGTTCGAAATATTCACGGTCTGCACTTCTCTGCTCCGCTCTGCTTCAACGTATCGCCGATATCGGCGTTAATTCAACTCAGATTGTCAATATCGTGGCCTGCGCGGAAAATCGCATTTTCCATCGCGAAGCGAAATTATTGCGCGAGTGGCAGCGGCGAGATATACTCGTATAAAAACGGGAAAAACCAGACGACAGCGCTTCCTGTCGCGGTCTGACATTTACCTCGATGTTAACGCATCGACTTTCGTTGATTGGAAAGGCTGATAAATATGGTCGTGCGCGCGAAAGATATTCAATCTCCTCGGTCATTACACGTCGTTTTATTTATAGCATCAATTTCAGCAGCCGTGGGACACGTTGAACTTTTTTGGAATGCTAACGGACTTGCTCGCAGGAAACTATATATTTTATTTCTGCATTGGAATACACGTTTATAAATATAGAAATTGAGTCGTTTGAGTTTAATTAAGAAAAGAGGAAAAAAAATTGTTTATATTGATTGACATATCGCATCAATTTCATATCTGTGTTTTATCTAAATTCTTCATACTTCAATGCTAAGACTTAACTCGCTTTCGGAATAAATTGTTAAAGTAGTGAATTTGTTTTCCTTCCGGAAATGAATAATTTATAAGCGTATATTTCTTAGGACAGAAATTGGTCTAGATTAAGCGCGGTCATTTATTTTGTCAAGAACCATTAAGAGAAGAATCTTATGATCCTAAAGAACATATATTTTTAATCGTACTGATATTTAACGTTATTGGAATTTTTATGGCCTTTCTTATAATTGTGTGTGAATTTATTTATATTATTTAAGCTTAATTATTTAAAAGAAATATCGTTATTGACATGAATAACAGAAAAGCATTATCTTGAGATTTTTATATTTTGCAAATCAAATATAATGCACATATTTTTTAGCTAATTAATAAACATAAATAGTTAATCTACTCACAGATATACAAATTATGCATAATTTTAAGAAGAAGAGAATCCTAATATTAATTACAATTAGGGAATCAATTTAATACTTGCACATATTCATGAATTAATCGATTTTTTTATCTATTAAAAAACAATTTTTCAAATATATATATTTTTTTATTTAGTATATATTATTCTATATAACTTACTACGTAAATTTTTCATTACACTCTCATATAAATTTGCTGACGAATTTTGAAATATTTTTTCAAACAGAAATCCGATTAATTTTTCTTTGTGATTTTTAATTTTTTATATTACACGAATAACATAGCAATTACACGGTGATTACAATTAAACAAATTATAACTAAAATAAAAGCAATTTAAAATTAATTAAAATATAAATCATTATTCATTTTTGTTAAAAAATTTAATTGTTAAAAATCATTAAAACACTTTTTTACGACGTTAGTCAAATCCCTAACATAAATGGGAAACAAATTGTGCATCAAATGTCATTGACTGACATAGTAATTGCAAAGGATGAAGGAAATCTTATGTATTTATGTTCAAGTTAAATATTAATTTAAAATTTCCAAAAATTTATATTACTTTGCTTGATTTAAAAAGCTTCGAGATAGTCATCATAGTATTATAATGAATTATTAATTAAAAATATTGTTTCAATCATAATCGTAAAAATTCGTCTGAAAATAATTCCCGATAAAAAATTAGCGACATAAACTGAGATATGCGATATATTTCGCAGTTTCTCTCGTTCGGAACGTCATAAAGTGTCTACCCCACTGTTGCTTCTGCTGTTATTGCTACTGAAAATAGAAGGCAAAAGAACCCTTAAGAGGGCTCATATATTCCGTCGAGGCGACGACACGTAAACGATCGGGAAGTCGATTCTCTTATTTGTACGTCTTATTCACGAAGCAGACATAATCCCGGCGTGCCTGCGTAACGGTAAAAACAGATCGGCGTGCATTCACTTTTCCTCACTGTGCGTACACACATATAGATGCAAACGCATTATTCAGTTGCATATGAGGCACGCACTTTGCAACGCGCCTTTTAAGGATATATACGAACGGTAAATGTCAGTACATATGTATAATACCTAGTAACAAGTCGAAATATATTGTATTCCTCGAGAAACGATGCATCTCGCGATGCAACTTATCTACAGAATATATCCAATATGCAATATCCAATTCTTCTTTAGTATCTTTAATATACTTTTTTTTAGAAGGCGCTCGGTTAAAAAGTGATATAAACGTAATTGACAATAAGGAATTGGATGAGTGCAATATTCTGAATTCAATTTACGGATATAGGTATGAATCATGTAGAAGAAAAAACCAACGTGTGCAAGTGACTTTTTTCCTCTGTACTTAATAAAATAATAATAGATATATTTCCAGAAAAGTCAATAAGATTTCTATTTCGAATGTTTTTGTTATATGTGAAAAATAAAGAGATTTTTGAAATATAATCCTTCGAAAAAACAATGTTTAAGAATCATTTTCGATTACGTGACATTCGTAAACTAAATTAATAAAATAGTATATCAAATTTATGATATAGAAATATATCCCATAATTTGTTATTGCGCTCGAAAAAAACGTTTACTTCATAAGAATAACGAATCATTATTATTTCATACGTGTTATGCAATGGAAAAATTACTTCAGCGTTCGTTGCGCTAATTTATTCTTCTTTGTTTAGGATAATAGATATTTCTTTACGCATTACTCTTTATAATACACGCGGTACACTGTTTCAATTTGTTTTAATTTATCAATTCATGCGGACAGATGGAAATATTTCTAGAGGCACTTTAGAGATGCCCGAAGCAGATGCGCAACATTCTGAGAAACTCCTGAGGAAACTCGCGGACCTAAATTACCTCGGGGAACGTCGCGTCCGGTATACGCGTGGCATCGGCTAAGTGGCGTCTATTAAGATTAGAAACTGGGTTAATATTGCTTCTTATGTTAGGAGATGAGCGGCTACTTAAGTGAAAGCCGTAGCGGCTGAAGTTAATTAATCCTCGCGTTACGCAAACGCATCGCTAATTTCTTCGCTCGATCATGTCAATATCACTTACCATGCATAGATATAATAATTAATTCGATCATCCTCTTACCTCTGTTGACAGACTGATCCGATGCTTCGAAAGAAGGACAGGTGACAAGCAAAAGATCCACACCACAGACAAAGCGTCTCTGAAAATATCCGGAACACTCCCTGAAAAAGCTTCGTCAGGAACACGTTGAAGAAGATGTTGAGCCAACGACGAAGGCATTCTCGATGGAGAATGTACCTCATCTACGTAGCGTTTCTCGCGCTGACCTGCAACTGCGAACTAGCGTCCGCCAATGTACCTGAATCGTCGTCGTCGGCGCCCACCGCCAAGAGAAAATCACAGGACATCGGCTCCCTGAACGACTTCGCCTGGCAAGCGTGGCTCCTGGTGGACGCGCAGAACGGCTTTCAACACGGCGTGGATTCCGCGACCCTTCTGCGAAGGATAACGCCGAAAAGCGTGTTCATCGCGCCGGCTTTACCCGCCTGCGCCGAGGGTTATCGCGCGGATACCATGGGCAGGTGCGTGAAGAGTGTCAACATCGACGCGCAGTCGCACATGTACTTCCTTCTGGAGCGGCTTAACGCTATGTACGGGAATCCGCAAGCCTTCGCGAAGAACGATCAAAAGAAGTCGACCGGTCCGTTGCAACTCAACATCCCTCTGATACTTTCCGACCCTAAGCCTGCCTCGACCAAGGTCGAACCCGAGGAAACGTTCTCGATGAATAATCCGGTCGTGGTGCCGCCTCGCAATCAAACTCATCCAGATGATGAGGAGAAAGTGAGACCGCACGAGGTCATCGCAATAGCGAGCGCGTACGAGATGAAGAATGACACAATGTCGGACGAGAAGGAGAAGTTGGAGGAAAAGACGACGCTTCTCCCTGGGAATTCCAGTATCGACGATGTCAGCGAAATTGATCAGAAGACTGACGCAGTAGTTCCGGTCGCCGACAACACTAATTCCTCCGAGGTAGGAAATCGCAGGATCCCGATAGATCTGAAAACTTCGTTGAACACCTCGAGCGTGAACAAACTAAATGCGAGCGATATTACGAAAGAAAGTGTCTCGATAACAAAAAAACCGGATAACTTCACCGAATTGTCGCCCACATTGATTTTCCTCATCTCGTCTACAAAGTTGCCGAGCGTAGCGGATGATGATCTGTCAGTGACGCAGAACGAAACCGTCAGCCACGTAACCGTGCAGATGTTTAATGTCACCTCGAACAAGACCACGAAGGAGGTCATTGCTGTCAGCGTGCCGGATTCCGCGCTTCCGGACAAGTCGACGGAAGTGCCGTCAGTTGTAACGAACGAGCAGCGGGATAACGAGACGCGCGTAAACGACGAAACGTCACTGGAAAGTTCGAAATTGAATGAGTCGCAGGAAACGGAGTTCGTCTACGACGAGGAAGAGGAGGACGCGGAATACCCGTACAGCACGGACATGCCGGATGATGAGGACTCGATGGAGCTGGAGAACGAGGAGATCCTGAGTCACGGAGAAGCCGGCATGACGATTCCCACGCGAAACATCGAACGACTGCATCAACAGAATCAAACTGCGAATCAAAAGAAGACACTCGAGGTGAACGATCAAATCATGATTCGTTTTAACGATTCCATATCTACGGACGACAAGGACGAGGCGGGCAGCAACGTCTCCAGCGAAGTCAGTATCAACGGCGATCTCATTTTGGAGACAACTCTCTTGGACGTAAACACTGAGAAATTGCAAGTTACCACCAAGTGGCCGGATGTGACTCGAAAGATTACAAAAGGCAGCGATGATGGTCCCAAAGAATCGTTTAGCAAGAGTTCCGACACCGAATCGGACCTTGTAATCTTTCAGGAAGTTCAGGATACGACGCCTACTAATCTGCACAGACGTAAAACAACAACAACAACCGAGCATTTGACGAGGTTCGAAAATAAGAAGCACGAGGAATTAGAACGAGGAGCTGCGCCTTCTTCGTCGGAGCAGATTCCGTTCGATTTTCCCGAAGAACACCCGATAACGGAAACCCACATACCCGACAAGGAACAATCGACCTTGAAAGAGAGCGTGTCGCAGGAAAATCCGAAAGATTTTCAGCTAAATGTCCCCGCGAGCGACTTTAAACAGACCACGATGAATCTCGGCTCGGTCGAGGACTACGTGAGATTTCCCGATTACGCGAAGCAGCCGCAGCAGGACGGCTACGTGAGATTCCCGTCTAGCGAGGCCAACAGCATACACAACCTGGGTTATAAGCAGCACTCGCATCATCCCATAGACGACGTTGGCCCTCACGACGGCACCAGCACCAAGAGCAGCGTCCCCGTTCGCCAGAAACCGGTCTATTATTTGCCAAGCTGGAAGCCGGAGCGGCTGCAAACTGATCACGTCCCGGTAAGCGAGAAGCAGAAGCAGAGACCGGATTTGTTGCGCTTCTGGAGCAAAATGCCGCTGATCAGAGATCCGGGCGTCTACCCCGTCGATCAGGTTCCGGAGGATGCGGCCGAAGCTCAGGAGCTGCACCCCGATCGATTCTTCCGAGCTTCGCGGAAGTTGAATCGCTTTGCGCCGGAAATATCGCCCGAGAATGTCAACAAAGCGCGCGCGCAGAAGCAGAGAACGTCGATCGGCGGCTAATTATCCTTACGTAATTATTTTCCTCGAAAGAAAAGTCTAGTGAACCGTGTTTGGAACTGTGCCAAATGATTCGCGAGATCGAACGAAGTATAGCGACATTTTTTAATCGCTGTAGTAAACGAAAACTTCGTTGCAAAGTAAAAACAGGATTGACGAAAAAAAAAAGATCGTAATGATTTAATGCTAAATATTGCGTAAATCGTGTCTAGTATTTCGTATCGCGAGTGCTGCGAATTGTCTGGAAAGTTTGACGATCTCAGAAATAGTGATCTCGGTCTTCCAGACTCTCGTGTAGAAAGAAAGCAATCGAGCTCAACTCGCTAATAGCGGAAAAAATTTAGTAGAAACTTACTAAACGAATGTTACGAGTCATATTGAATTAATATTAACCATTAAGCTCGAAACTGGGAAGATTTTTTTCCGTAGAAATCCATATATCGCAACAATCGCTTTCAACGATCTTGCGAAGAATACATCATGGTAATAGCTACGCAATTAATAATGTTTAATTAGAAATTTAAAAGAAAGTAACAAAAACGTATTGGCTTAAGGGATTTGCTTAATCCTGATGACAAAATTTCGCCATAATATACGCGAAATTTTTACAGAAATTTAAACTCGCGAATTTAGACAAAGACATTACTGAGTCTTTAAATATTCGCGTATTCTTTGCGAACTCGTTGCATTTAGCGATGATGAGATATCGAATTGCGTGAAACAGCACGCCGCTGCTAAACGTTTAATAACGAAATCGAATTGTTGGAACTTTATATTGAATTTCACTAAGCTAATATTTACGAAACAAGCAAGAGAAACGTAGATAAGGTCCTACTAAAATGCGCTAAAATAGATTAGAAGAGTAACGCAGAGCTTGAGATAATTTTTAAATTTTATTACAAGTGACTTTTTACATTTTATTAAGTATAGAAATTTTTACATTTTATCAAGTATAAAAATTTTTACATTTTATCAATTTATACGGAAATTTATAATACTCCTCATATTTGTTGCATATTTGATTTTGTATGCGATACTCTGAATTCCTATATTTTATATTTTTTAACTATTTTAATACTATTTTAATAAAATTATATATAATTATTAATTTTTAATAAATTTTTTTGTATTGACTTCGTATTATTAATTGTTTTTTCTTTTTTTTTTAGAAATTCCATATTATTTTTAATATGAAAAATACACTGACTAAAATATACAATGACATTTAATAATAAATATGTGAAATTATAAATTTATAGCGTCAGACATATTGTTAATAAACATCACGCGTCGTGAAAGACGTGATAATAAAAATTTTCATGCAAAATGTCATTGCTTATTTTTAGTCTCTGTATAGCGGATGATTCGCTAATTAGAGATTTGTCAAAGTGCTAATACTACTTTCGAGATAATGACATATAAGCGGCGTTTAATGAGTTCACGAGCGATATGTCGAGCTAATCTACTAATGGAGATGTTATCGAAGCAGACTGATCTTTTAGAATTATTATTATAGAGTAGTAAAAAGCAAGTTTCTGGTCGTAACGAAATCTTGAGAATCGCGTAAGAACGGAATAATGTTATGCAGCAAATCAACTTGATGCACATCGTTGTAAAATTTTTTAGAGAAAGAGATGTAAGTCTCATCTCAATTTTGACGAATTTTAAGCGAATCGATTTTATAATTCGCATAATGAATAAGCGTGTTTTTGACGTTCTTAGATTATTTTATGTCGCAGATCAAGCATAAATTACATCTACATTGTAGTCGGCAACGTGGTGTAAGTGTTTTCAATGCGATCTAAACAAACGTTCTTTCACGTCGAAAAGTCATTTCGCTGAAAATAGCCGCCGAAATCGATCCAAGTTGACAAGTCTCCAAGTTGATAAGTTTCGATCATCTTTACCATGTATTTGCTTTGTCTTTCATAAATTCACACATGTGCGAGATGATTGTACTTCGACGAAAATGTTATCGATACCGCTATAATAAATGTTTCTAGCTAGACGTATAATAAGCAAAAATGCTTTTAATAAAGCTTTTATTTTTTTAGATAGTATTATATAATAATAATATTAGAGAGGAGAGAAAAAAGAAAAGAACATTGATATGCAAAGTATCAATAATAATTATTTAGATCAATGCATGATTTGGCAAAGTTAATCATAAAAAAAATTCGATTTCTTAGTGTTAATTACAAATTAATTTTCTTGATAGCTATTTACATTTTAATTTACAAATAATATATTATACTTATATATATAAAATATTATTAATGTATTTCTGAAATTGTGTTTTAGCTTTTCTTCTCTCTAAAATCAAAGGACTTCAAAAATATAGCAAATATATCATTGACTAAATCATTTCATTAATTAGATAATTTTTCAAACTAATTCTCTTGAAGCAATACTCATTAAATTCTTGTTATATATCGAAATTTGTCAAATTATTTTATATCTTGATTATGATTTGTTGCAGTTAGTAATCTTTATTATAGCGGGTGTTATCGAGACATCTCGAAACATTTCGAATTAACTTTTGTTACTTCAATGCATGTTTCGCTACGAACGCGACAACGAACCAGAAAGTTTTTTATGATATTTGACATTATGCGGCCAGTAAATCTACATGCGTTTCAATGTGGTGTGTAATGTCTCTCGTATTATTAGATGTCGATTTATGTACATATTAGTTTTATTATTGAGAAATGTATATACATAGCATAATATAGGCATAATATGAGTAAGTGTTAACAACAGCGTCCCGATGCGTATTAATTGTGTAACTCTATTGTATTATTTATAGCGTATTATATATCGATGTATATTGTCGTGTTGTGCAAGACCACCTGTTAGATAACAAAGTGAAAGGAGTTGTAAAAAATTGCATACGCTGTCCGTATGATATCAAAATTACTGTGAATTTTTATTTATTCAACCTCCACACACACATCATCGTATCCTATAATAAAAAAATATACATCTATCAATTCTAATCAAGATCAGCTGGTCTTAAGACCCTTAAATCCTCTAGCCAGAAAAAATTTTTCCGTGGATTCATCTCTCGTCGCGTCAGGCCTGAACACCTTAACATTATCATAAAATTTCAATAAATTTTCCTCGAACTGCTGCGACTTGCCGCCGTCCCAAACTTTTACAACAAGCATACCCTGCACTTTACTGTTTTGCAGGGCAAATTTCAAGGCCGTGTAAGCTAATAATATTATATTATCGTGATCTATATCCCTTATACCGGATGCGTTTGGAGCCATGTCGGATAAGATAACATCGGGCTTATTACCTTGCAATAATTCGTGCAAAGTTTCTTGTGTCCTGGCCTTCGTGAAATCCATATTTCCCAAAACGGTCGCACCTTCCACGGGATAAAACGGTAGTTTATCAATAGCGTATACCTTGCCGATGGGACCGTCATTTTTGCCGTGTGCATTCGTCAAATTGGTGGCGACCTGTGTCCAGCTACCAGGCGCTGCTCCGCAGTCGATGACAGTCATACCCGGGCTGAGAATTTTGAACTTCTCGTTGAGCTGCAGAAGCTTGAACGCACTTCTGCATCTATAGCTCTCCTGCTTCGCCTTCTCCACGTAAGGATCACGTATTTGCCTCGACAACCACAGCTGCGAACTGTGTTTCTTACCCTTCAAATTCCGCGGCGTTTCTTTCAAGAGTGTGCTACTGGTATGCACGCTTCTCGAAATGTTTTTGTAGAAACAATTCATCCCGGTTTATACTCTGTATACAAATCTCTCATCTAACCTAACAAACGTTATTCGACAAATATACTTAGTATCTTCTCGATTCGACTTGCTCCTGGCGACTTGCCTTTATCTTGAATAACTTTGCGCAAATTAGACGTCGAATATTTTTGCGGAATATGTACGCAAAGTGTATAAATTAATTAAAATAAAGCCACGTGATAAACTGTCGACAGCGCGGCACGACGACTCTGTGCGCGGCCATATTGAATGACCGCGCCGCTGTCAGCTGATCAGCTGATCAACGTCAGTCGGTTGGCACGCCTGGAAATAGTATGGGATATATTCGATATAGATTGCCAGTACTGGCGTAGTAGTAAAAAATTCTTCATATGCATTCATTGCAGCCCGTGACATTCATTCAAAACATTCTATCAATTGGCGTCAGTATCTACGTATTTTTGATACGCATCGCATCTAGATATTCATGCATCATGACAATTTGACATATGTGATTTGACATATATGTGTGAAAAAAATCAAGGTAGATAAAATATATATTAAATGAAATAATTTCATTTTTTTATTTAATCTTGATGCAGAAATATTTACGCACGATGTCGTCGGCTCGACAAAAGTATCTAGCTGCAAAGCTGAACGTGTGTGACATCCAGTGTATATACGTACGCACACGTATACATATACGTGTGCTCTCGACTACGCTCGTAGCGGCAGACGGAGAAAAGTATCGCGGCTAGCCGGCGAGAATGTGAGTGCCGCGACGCGAGCGCGAGATTTTATTTGGGGTCCCGGATGTTTTTTCGTCATCGGAGCAGTCCACGATGAACCTCACCGCGGGTAATCCGCACGGCAACGGCCTGCTCTACGCCGGCTTCAATCAGGACCAAGGTACGTCGTACGCGCGACTCCACGCGCGTTTGACAGCTACGCTAGCTGTCAGACCGCTGCGTTTCCGCGTCTAACCTCACTCACGATGTTTACACGTCGCCGATGCAAATGTCAACGCGACCGCGACGTGATATTTGACATTGGGCTCTTAACATCCTATCGTCGTGTCTGACAGCTTCGGGATCGTGTCCGAATAATTCAATCTTGTGGACATGTAACGGCATTCGTCGTTTCTAACCTCGTTCTCGCATGCCCTAGATCGTAATCTTATTCGTTAATTAGTTCATTGTCAATTTAATTAATTCGTATCTTCTTTCCATCGCGAAAGATGTGTCAACAATGTCGATATCAAAATGTCATCCGGCTTATAGTAGATTCGAAATTCGTATCGATTATCTACTTTTATCAATAAACTTTTTCATTCTAATGTTTGCAAAAGAGAAAGTATAAAAAATATAATAAATGATGCAATACGCTTGTCAATATTTTCTTTTCATTTCGAAAATCATATGTATTATCATTTGTATATGTGTATGTATACATTGTATGTTGCGTGATTGCATATTTCATGTTCATGATATCGCATTAACATGTGTGAGCTTATCATATCCAGTCATTTTGTGTGTTTGTGTTAATATGTATGTATTGTAAATATTGTGATTAATATTGTTGAGAAAAGGGATGTATATAAAACAGATAAAATTATCAGTCCTGTTCACGCATTTGCAGGATGCTTTGCTTGTGGTATGGAGAATGGATTCAGAGTATACAATTGTGATCCATTAAAGGAGAAAGAGAGGCATGATTTCAGCGACGGAGGCCTGGGATATGTAGAGATGCTTTTCAGATGTAATTATTTAGCATTAGTTGGCGGTGGAGCAAAGCCAATGTATCCAACAAATAAAGGTTTGTTTTTTTTTTATTTGATGTGCACATATATTATAAATATTGTTATAAATAGATATCACTTTACTTTTTTGTAATTGCAGTTATGATATGGGATGATATAAAAAAATTGCCAGCAATTACTTTAGAATTTAATGCATCTGTAAAAGGAGTCAAGCTGCGAAGGGACAGGATAGTAGTAATATTAGAAGGTGTTATAAAAGTTTACACATTTACACAAAATCCCCAGCAGCTGCACGTGTTTGAAACTAATCCTAATCCACGAGGATTGTGCGTTTTATGTCCGAATAGTAACAACTCCTTGCTCGCCTTTCCTGGACGAAAGAACGGTCATGTTCAAGGTAAGATTTATAGAAAAAATATTAATAAGTTGTATACATGTTATGTAACACCGAGATTTTCGTTTCAGTTATAGATCTGGCTAATACTGAGAAGCAACCCTTAAATATAGAAGCACATGAAACGCCTTTATCTTGCATAGCTTTAAACTTGCAAGGCACTAGATTGGCCACTGCCTCTGAGAAGGGCACTCTGATAAGAGTATTTGATACACAAAACGGTAACATGATTAACGAATTAAGAAGAGGAGCAAATCATGCAAATATTTATTGGTAAGTGTAAAAGAAAATAGATATATATATATATATGTATGTATACGATGTGAAAATAAATTGACATATGCATATGCTTTATTCCAGCATAAATTTCAATCATGATTCTACGTGGTTGTGCGTTGCCAGTGATCACGGAACCGTACACGTATTCGCCGTCGAAGATCAAAAACTGAATCGCCAATCTAGTTTAGCATCTGCCACGTTTCTGCCAAAGTACTTTAGCTCAAGTTGGAGTTTTTGCAAGTTTCAAGTGCCGGGCGGTCCCCAGTGCATGTGCGCGTTTGGTCAAGATAATAATAGCATCATAGGTAAGTGTTTCGAATATATATACTATTACGGTGTATATGACAATCTTTCTTATATTTATGATCCTTTGTGCAGTGATATGCGCGGACGGTAGTTATTACAAGTTCGTATTCAACAACAAGGGTGAATGTACGAGAGATTTTTACGCACAGTTTCTCGAATTGACCGATGACAAAGCGTGATTGGAGGTCGATCATGGCGGTGAACTCCTAATCGTACGACGAGAGACGATTATCGTCGTGTTCCTTCATTGTTTTCATTTATATCGGCTGATAAAAATGGGCAAATGTGGCGGAGATACATTGCACTCATTGAGATTGCAATATGTGGGCTGTTCATAGAAAAAATAACATCCATATCGGATGTTACGATAGAGGACCAAATAAAGAGTTCTAATTAATTGTTGGTGATACCGTTCGTTGATGTCTTGTGCGCGATTTTTCGAAAAAGAAAAAGTGAAAAAAAAAATAACAAAAATTATCGATGGGAACGTCGCAAAACGCGTTAACGAAGATTGTGTCATTAACCTGTTACATGAGCCTATTTCACCCTGACGCCTATTATTAGAAGAGCAGAAGTTTTTAAATATTTAAAAGGAAAAAAAACAGAAGGAATACCCCAGGATATAACACACAGGGGACACCGCAAGTTACTTGTTGACGTGATACTCACATTTTTTCTTACAGTTTAGATAAGAATGCTGCTGCAACTATAGCGAATGTTGGCCATAAATATCATTGTGGCAAAAAGTAAATAATCATTTTCTGTAGCTATGCGGTAAAAGCTTTGCAATGCAATCATGTACCCTTATCGATCTTGTGTTTTTGTAGTTCTACAAATTTTTTCGTTATATATAAATACGTTATATATAAAAGTGATATACATCTTTATTCCCTTTAACAATTTTAAACAAATTATTGTTGTGTTCTCCAATTATAGAATTGTAAGTATTGTGTTCTCCAATTATAGAATTGTAATTCGAGATCGACTCTTATAATTGGGGCATTTGTTTATCATTGAGAAATATTTAGTTCTATTATATAATTTTTAGTTCTATAAATTTTGCCAGTAGTTTGTCTGGACGAAAAAAATAAGAATAATGAGAGAGCAAAATAGCACATTTTTATAAAATCGTCTATTTAGCTATTGGCGTGAGATAAAAATTTTAACTTGTTTACTCGAGAAATTGAGAAGACAGGGAATAAATTACGATCTCGTAATTGAAAGAAAAATTAATTTTATAATCGAAAGATATTGTTTTTGGTGATTAAATGAATATGTCTTTGTTTTATAGCCGAATCATATCATATACACGTTATACATATATGTATCGTACTGGAATGTATTGTAATTTTTATTTTCCGTTTTTCCATACATTTAATATACATATACACAAGAAGTGACCCTACAAACTTTATATCACACGGATATTACCGCAAATAACAAAGTTGTAATTTCACAAAGAAGTTGGGTTTAAATATGAAATAAAATAATAATTATATATATACCACGACTCGTGGAGTTCTGCTGCTATTTCTTTAGTAAATTAATTTTATGTTTCATCATGTAAAATTTTTTTCACATTGTCAAGAACTATCTACCGAGCGCAAATCTTGAATATTTCGCATTATATTAAAAAATTAAATTCAGTCTTGCGCGCGAAAAGAAGTGCGCGCACTTTAGCAGTGAGATTAATCTTGAAGTTACGATTATTTTATCTGTCAGAATTCTGACAGGTGAAAATCCAGAACTTATGTGTGTCATACGTGTGCGTATAGTGGATATGCAATTTTCAATTAGAGACATAATTTAAATATAACAACACTAGCATCTGTGCGTCGAATTAAAGAGCCGTCTTAACGCACAAACGTAAAGAAGCGGCATAACTTTAACCAGGCAAGAACAAGAAGAAATATTTAAATGTAAGAAGCATGTCCTTTTTTTGCAGGACTTCTCGATTTTTGTACAATAATATTTTTTCATTTATCTTCATGTCCTACGTCAAAACTTTTTATTATGAAACTTCGCGTCCACGTTGTTAATTAATTTTTCATTTTCGACACATTTTCTTTGCGATTCTGCAATCATCCCTTAATTGCTATCCCAGTTTCAAGATTTCTTCGAAAGTACATTTTCTCTTGAGAATATGCATGCCATAGAAAATTCTTCGCAATTCAATCTCATATCTTTGCGAAGTCACAGGGGTCTTCTCATTCACATTAACGAAATTTTTCGTTGTTTTATCTCCATCATAATATTTTTAAAGTTCGTAGGGTTTGTTCGCCGAAACCTGGATCGCTTTTGGTACTTCCAGTGGTACGGGAACCGCGTACTTTTTTTTCATACTATGCACTTCGTGCGTGAGTCCTTTCTTTGTTTCAAGACTCTTATAAGTACTGTACACGACGAACCAAACGTAAAAGCTCATAATTATCAGGAAAAAGGCAATAAGACCTGAAAATATTATATTCTTTTGTAATAAAAGATAACATATTTAATATGGAAAAGTAACTAATATAAGATGCTTCAACAAATGCAATAACATATTGAGATAACTTGTTTCAAAATTTATCGAATTTTTCCTCTTGTAATATTATAATAATAATTGTGAAAAAATATGAATTAGTTACATTTCGTTGAAGAATTGATAAAAATTTAATCAAATAAATTCATTGTATGTATAATATTAGTACGAAAATTTTTCAGGCATTTTTTGTGCAATTTTTTATTTTAACGTACGTTCGCAAAGACCCGCTCTCCCTCCTAAAGTGGCAAGGAAAGGACAATCTTCTTCTACCAGAAATAGTGAGATCGCTAAAGCCGATATGATAGTGATTTTGACCATCATCCAAGGCGCCATAAAATGACGATTATTCTAAAAATGGAATATGTAGAATAAAAAGAGTTGAGTTTTAAATAACTTTTTTAACGATTTTAATTACCGTTAAAGCTCCATAGAGGAGTAACATGGTGGAGATGAAATGAATAACTGTTATGACAAGGCCACAGTACATTGCATATACCATTTCTGCAAAATATATAAAATCACCTTGTTAAAAATTATATAATAGAAAGAAATAATATTTGTTTTATCGTGCAATAATTTGTTGTCTTTTGTGTAAATATTTTTCTATAATGTATACCAGTTGCATTATGATGTGCCAAATCCATCTTTTTGGTATTGAGATGATTCGATGATATCTCTTCCAAAGCTTCTCTTTCGAGAGCATCTTCGGTGTCTCTCACTACCATTTCTTGAATTCCCATTGCATGTGCTAGTGCCAGAATGAAAAATATCATACTGAATCCGGATGAAAACTGTAATATTTTTTTTAGAATTATGTTCAATGAAGAATCATCATTGTTTGCGGAAGATGCTATAGACATTTCATAGAAATTGCTGTTACCAATTGAAATATGGCAATTAGTATGGTTCCCTGCCTCAGATTAAAGTAGTGCAAAAAATTTTTCAGTAATCCGATCTTCATCTTGGCTTTTGAGAATTTAAGCCGATTATATATTTCTATAAATATTCCTGAAAAAGTTTATAAAAAATATATATAATATATATATAGATATATATATATATGTATATTATTTCAATTATCTTTATATTAGTACACATGACATATATAAATACGCATTAATATATTAATAATAGTGAAATTTTTCAAGGAAAACCTTTTGTTAATATAACATAAAACATTCATTTGCTTCGTGAGTTTCATCGAAGCAAGATTATACTTGAAAAAAATGTACTCTTTAACACACAAACACACGCACTTCCTTTATAAAATAAAATATTACAATGTGTACCACTAACAAGAATCTAGATTGATTAACGTGTGCATCGATAAGTTTACTAATTAATTAACAATTTATTAGATAATCGGATCTTGCCAACCCTTAACAACCCTTGTATGACACAGCCTTGATCGAGGCCTGCAGTGACGACGAAAGTAGGTGAAACACATCGTCGTTTACCTTCGCAGCAGGTGTGCTCCGAGTAGCGTTCAGCAAATTGCGAACACCCTTCGCTTGCGAAGGGAAATCAATAATTTTCGCTGATTTGCACCGCGGAAACGAAACACAGGATCTGCAGTGCGGCGGTTTCGTCGGGAATATCCGCGACAATTTTTTTCGCGTGCTCAAAAAACTGTAAGGTTTCAGGGTCGGTATGCTTGAATAAAACGCGGAGGGTTACTGTGTCGAATGAAAAGGGAGCGAGGGGATGAAAACGAACCCCTGTCAGGAAGCTACCCAACAAATGCGCACGCGCTACAATATACGCACACGCGCATTCTTCAAGGTGATCAATCTGTTCTAAATTGATCATTGTTTGTTTATACGTGTTGCGTAGATGTCGATTAATTATTACTCGATGACTTTGCTGAGCTTATTATTTTTCTTTTAATCTGTCAACTTAATTTTTAATCGTATTTAATTACAATCAAGAGTAGCGAACACTTTATTATTTATTTTATATTCCTAGATGATTAATTAAATGTCTGTGTGAATTATTATAATATATATATAGCATAATTATTTTAAAGCTAAATTGAGCAATAATTCAAAACATTAATTGCATAACTATAATTTTATATTTTAATTGATATCTTTCAGAGCATTTTTAGAATGAGAAGCTGAACTAAAAAGGAAGAAGGAGAGACAAAACTTTAAGTTAAATTATAATAAATTTTAAATGTTGATAATTGGACAGCTTATTATGTATATTATTTTAATTTTAAATAGATTTGAAATCTTAATGAAATCTAAGAATTCGGGAAAATTTAATATATATTAAATTCACACACAAAACTAAAATTTCTATATTTTAAGTTTAAATATTTTAAGACAAATATCTTAAAAATGTAATTATAAAAATATCAAATTAAAACCCCAGGAATTTATATATTTAAATTAACAACTTTTGTATATTTCAAAATATATATAAATTCAATCATTTGATTGTGGACGAAATGATTTGTGAATATATTGATAGACCTGATAGAGATTGATAGAGCTGATTAAGTGGTAGTAGTTTGCAATTTCGAATTCTAATTAATAAAAGTTAGTTCGATCAAGCTGAGTCATCTTTCTCAGTAGTCATAGAAACGTTACGCACACCCCCGATGTTATATTACAATCAAAGGGATGAACGTGCACGAGATTGTCGCTTTAGCAAGCCGCGACTTGACAGCCTGTTCGGTAAATTAACATAATCGCGCAAATTTGCCTCTTGACAAGTTAGATTTTAAAAGTAATGGATCGAAAATATCAGAGAGTCGGTTTGGGCGTGGGTGCCTTTCACAATCCCCCAAGAGCAAAATATAGTGAAGAAACCAGAAATCTTATTAAGGGTAAGTAAATAGTAACCAACATTACATTAAATACAGAGAATGTGTCAAATTTAATCGGAATGTTTTAATTAGAAGTAAAAGATCTAATTTTTTTTGTAACTGACACTTGAAATTTAAAATCATGCTTTTAATATCTGAAAATTTTAAATGTTAGTTTTAATGGAGGAATCTAAACTAACAATGTTGCAAAGGAAGACGATCCAGGAAGCGGTTGACAAGGGCGAATCCTTACCGTCTTCCATTGAAAGGACGAAGAAGAGCAAAGATAAAATCGAAGATAATCGAGTAAATATTGTAATGCTGTAAAGAAATTCTTAGAAAATTATTTTAATATCTTGTAACATCTCTTTCGATAGGTTAAATCGTCTAGTGCTTGGAGGAGACGTTCACAGGACACGATTATAAGCAGCGGTGCTTACGAGAGAGAACAATACAGGAGGACAGTGCCTCTACGTAAAAATTATAAATAATTCTTTTCATAATATTTTTTAAATAATTGCGCATAAAAAGCATATTAAGTGACATAAATTTTTTCCTGTAGCCAATAAGGAAAAACAAAAACGTCACTTGGCATGCATGATGGCTTATGGAAAAGATATGCCAGAGACGCCTCATGGTCCCAAGATCCTTCATAAGATTAGACGAGAGCCACAAATACCAGAAAGTATGGATTTTGTAAACGATTGTAAGTTGACTCTATTTTTCTATTTATCATACAGATACGTAGAATAATGTATAAAAAGAGTATCTTTAAAAAAGCAGTAGAATAGAAAAAGGATAATGGAAGTTTGTACTTCTTTTAACATTACTGTGATTGACATTTATGTGATAAATGATTCTACAAAGATAATTTCTCAAAGAAATAGATTTTTGTAATACGTATTTCTCTTATAACGTTGTCGACACAAATATGCAATTGTATTATGTTTTGCTCTTCGTAGTGGTACAAGGAATTCGGGAGAGGATGAATTTTCTGCATGACATGGAAAATCTTGGAATGGCAAAAAAATATCGGCCTATAATACAACAGGAGATAGCACAGAAGATACGAATGATCGAGTCACTAGATAAACAAACCTCGGAGGAATTGCAAAAGGAAATTTGCAAATCTAAATATGAAAAACCACCGCCAAAACCATTTCCGCTTGGAGAATTAGAAGAAAATTAATCTCCATAAAGTAATTCAACCGTTTTTCGATGTATACGATAAATGAATTTTTAGATAGAATATAAAATATGTGTCAAATATATTTTTTTATTTTTAATTATTTGATTAGCTATGAATAAATTTCAATGATAGGAACACAAAAAGTAATTTTGAATAATATAATTTAATTACCTTAAATCATAAAAGAGTGTATATATTAATAATTTTTCATGTTTAATATAATTTTATTTTTATTTAATATTAAACGATAAAATCCGCATATATAGAGATGGACAGATTGTCCCTTTATTCTTTCTCTTTTGCTGCTCTTTGATATTACATTTTTACTCTTTATTATTTTCTATTTATTTTTATTTATAGAAAAATATAGAATTGTAATTATACACTTTATTCAAGACATGTATAGATAATTGCTAATTTTTATATGGATCTCTTAAATTCGTCGGATTAAAATTATATATGTACATGATTGAAATTCAGGAATTTTTATTATGTACATTTAGGAGATTAATCGATTTAGAGAGAAGAATAAGTGCAGTTATCAAATTATTGTTTTCTTCGCAATTAAAAGTATGTTATTTGAATTAATTGAAAAGATAGTTATTGTGCATATATTTTGACAATGCTGTCGCAGGTGCAGGATGCGCTCTTGTCAGTCGCGGCGCGCTTTGCGCAAACTCCGCGCCAAAGCGCTGCGCCGCGATCGCGTCATCGGCGTTCCGCGTTGCGCGGCGTCCCGTCGTCAGTCTTGCGCGGCACGGCGATCGCGTATGTTGTGTATGCGCGTTTCTCGTGCGTGACTCTGCGCACAAACGTTTTGCCGTCGACGTGTCGTGTCGTAACGTCGTTCGTTCGCGAGTGTGTGTATTTATACATATGTGTATGTGAGTGCGCGCAATATTAAAGTCGTTCACGCGCCCGCGCACCATCGGAACGAGCCTCTAACCTCAAAGCGCGCCGCCGCCGTCGAGATCGCGACGCAACCTGGAGTCGACAACCCGGGTCTTCATCGCATGATCCCGCACGGATGATCCACGGATGATCCAACATGGCGTCGACCGATCTGTCGTTCGGTAAATGATGAGTAAGAGAGCCCCGTAACAGTTCGCGACAAGGTCTACCCGGCGAGGTCAACCGGTTCTCTCGTCTCTCATTTCGTCGTCGGCTGATCCGCGACATCGCGGATCTCGCCGCTCGGAAACGCGGTCGGCCCGTCCCCCCGGATGTACTCCGATCTTCTTATCAGTGCAATTAGAATGAGACAGAGCGGATGTCTCTCGTTCGTCGAGAACGAAAATTTCTCTTCGCGATATAGCTGTTTTTTTTCTTCTTTTTTGCTCCTAAAATAGCGAATTAAAGATGCGTCTCGTGTTCGTCGGTAATCAGCTGATCTTTACACAACACTTTGACATCCACGCTGTAATCATACATATGCGTGGCCGGTAGTCAACGTAATAACGGTAACAACTCGCGTGCCTGATTCTATCTGATTTCCTTACCGTTTTAATAACTTTACGTAGGATGAAAGTTTACCGTTTAGACTTGACAAACGTTAAATTTTAAGATGATGCGAATGTTATTCAAATATAATGTTGTTCAAAGGAAGTTAGAGGTCACAATTTTAGCGTGTTTATGCTAATATCAGCTAATGACGTACGTAAAGTGTTTCGTAAGCACTTTGAAAATGACTTTAATTTGACCGAAATTTTATTACGTGCCATTTTTTTGCACATATGGATTCATATTGAAAATATTAACTATTGAAGATTTTATTGAATATAGTAGGTAAATCAATTGAAAAATACTTTCTCTACTTGCACATATGTTAAAACAATTTTTAAAGTCAGATCATTTTCAATTATAATTGCTATGTTAGCATGTTTGTAATTTAAATTTAAATACTCACGGAGAGAATTTTCTCTTAGAATTTACATAGAAAATCATGGTAATCATAGTAATCGTGGAACAATATGGTATTGTAAGAATTTTATGAGTTTCTCTAATTTTACTATTTATCACAATAAAAAATATTAAAATGTACATAATAAAATTAATCGAATATATTTTTTTCATCTTATTGTGGTATAGATATTAATATTTTTTATTGTAGTAAATATTAATGAAAGAAACTCTAATAAAATTCTTCCAATACCATATTGTCATGATCATGCATGATTACCATAATTTCCAGGGTAAATTCTAAGAGCAAAACTTCGACAATCTCTTACGAAAAATTTTCTTGTAAATTTGATAACATAAATTTGATTTTATATACATTGTTTTATATTAAAAAAGTAAAATAATCTCATAATAATGAAACCGGATCTCTTGAAAGAAATTTGGCGTAATAGAAGCTCGTAGTTTCTCGTAAGAAACGCGGAGAAAGTCATCTAAGTTCCTTTTAACAAAAGCACGTTCATTTACGGGACAATCGACCGATACAAATGTACACATGCATACATACATATATACATACTTCGCGTTTCGTCACGCGCGAACGACGAGAACGCTCGTAGATAGAACGGACGGACGCTGCTCTCGAAGGCCTCGTTACCGAGAGCCGTCGAGAGCGAGCGAACGACGGTGAGATTGTCGGGGAGATCTGTCTCATGCTTCTCTCCCAGGCTCTATACCGGCGTTCTACAGAGAGGTCTACGAGAAGATTTGCTCGCCCACCAACGGAAACGTCAAGCTCGAGGTGTTCCGGTCCCTCCTCGTCAAGTCGCAGCTAAACGGTTCCGTCGTTAGTCAGGTATGACTTACATCTGATCTCGATTCTATATCAATTTAAAGAATCTGTAAAAAATGAGATGAATTTATATATAAATATATAAATTGAACTCATTTCTTTTATAATAGATTGATATAAGATCGATATATAATCTTAAATTTTATCTATTATTGAATGAAAATTCTTTTTGATATTTAAAGCTGACTAATAAGTTTTGTTGTTTTGATTGATTTTATATCAATCTAAAGAATCTATAAAAAATGAGATTGATTTATATATAAATATATAAATTAATCTCATTTCTTTTATAATAGATTGATATAGGATCGATATATAATTTTAAATCTTATCTATTTTTTAATGAAAATTTTTTTGATATTTAAAGCTGACTAATAAGTTTTGTTGTTTTGGTTGCTTCCGATAAAACATTAATTATTTGAATTTTATTGGATTTATTAAAGAGTAAATAAAACGAAGACGAATAAGGTGAAAAGAAGCGTTTCTTTAGATAATTATAAAGAAATCCATCACACCGTAGAGTAATTTCGATAGCGAGCTTAAATACGAGGCAAACATATTTACGGGTTTCAGTTTCTAAACGTACCGTGCGCGACCTTTCCCAAGAAGAATCTACTTATGGTTATCTTAATTTATCGCGACCGGATACAAAATGTCACATGAAATACCGAGAAATGTATCATAATAAGAATCTTTTTCTTTGCATTTGTCTTTTGCCTCATTCTCTAAACTTTTCTTACCAACAATCATCGGAGCTATAATTAACAAAACGAAGTATTCCATATTGCATTAAAGAAATATGTGCATTTTGCATGCAATTGTAAAATTCTAATAAATAATTATATGAATAAATAATTCTATAATTATTTAAATTATTTGAACATTATTTATTACAATTATTAAAACACTTTCAAAATATATTACTGTGAGTAAAAACTCATTGCTCGCTTTTATTTCTCGAAGATCTTATTTCATCATTTTTCAACATTTTCAAAGTCACTGTATTTTTTCCGATTATCTATCTGATGATTAATGACGAGTCAATTTGATTGAATACTTCACGGTTCAATTTTAATTACGCAATGAAAACTTATCATATAGATAAATATAAAAAAATTACCAATTAGAGAAAGACGTTTCCTATCATAGTTTTTTATGTATTGTATACATAAGAATCGGTAATGTTTACGTCAACTTTGAATCTAATGTCAAAGCAAGAAAGGTCGCGCAAATATTCAAGGATAAGAACCGAAAAGAATAACTTGAAGTTTTTCACATGATCTTCAGTTTTCCGCATAGTTAACGTTAACTTTAGAGGTCTTTTCGCGTCTATCTTGTTATTCAGATCGCGGACAGGAACGCCACGTTTAGGAACACGTGGATCTCATTGAGGCTGACAGGATAATTTGTTGGATCTACAACAAAGTGGTTCTCGTATTACCGATGCCGTGCAGCACGCATATACATTTCGATCATTTAACATGACATTTAAAATTTCCAAGGAAAATCTCAATGTCCGTGTGCGTCATTTATGAAGATAATGAGTCAATTGATGTTACTGAATGTATTACTGTGTGGTACTTGATGTTTAACTATAAACTCGCGTATACTACCAGTTCTGAGATTACGTCTCGGAATGCGACATTAGAAATTCCAGTGAATAGATTAATTTTTTCTATGTAATAATTCATGATTAATTATTCATCGCTGTTTCATGCAATATTATAGTTACTTGCGGTTTCGATATCGTTCTCATGATTTTATTAATATTAAGTATTGAATTCGTTTTCTCAGAAGATCAAACACTCAGAAAACATTAATAAATTCTATCCAATATTTATGTGCAAAATATGCGATTGAAATAAAAATTCCTCTCTTAAACAATTTTTATTTTCTAATATCTATATCTATATCTATATATCTATATATATATATATATATATATATATATATATATATATATATATCATAATCATATGCATCTCGACAATAGCAATCTGTTATATTGATACAATCTGCATCATTACGTAGCATTAATATTTGCAGTTCGGGATGTGTGTATCCTGTTTTTCATTGGACTAATCAATTTATTTACGGTTTAATTCTACGAGAATTGCTACCAATGCCAATTACTCAGTGTGCATTATGCAATGCAATGTGGCAATATGCAGTTTAAAAAAAAAAAATAATTAAAATATTCCGCAGGCGCCGTATCAGAAATAAAGTTTTATCATTGACAGGCGTGCTGTCGATAATAAAACGTGGACGCCCCTTCATAATGATGCAAGATTACGTGACAGGGTCAACCGTACCGTCGCGTACAGTCTCTGTTACTTGCGGCAACAACATAAACACGTTTTAACATATTCTCAAACGCCTGGTACTCGTCTTTTATCTATTGAAAAATTCATCTTCTAAATACATTAAATTTCGGCAAGAATATCTAAATTTTTAATTTTATTTTTATTAATGTAAAATATACTAGAAAAATGTGTGGGAACGTAAATAATTTTATTATGTTAACTCATAAATTTGTACCTATGTTCTTGGACAGGCTGGAACGTTTTGTGCAATTAAATTTTATGAGATGGTAATTATTTCAAAATGTCTTAATTTCCACAAATTTAAATACGATAAATTTATTTTGTGGAGATTTCATGTCAAAATCAATACAGCTTTGCGACAACAAGATTTGTCAATTGATCGTATCGCGACGGCCGTGTCTGTCTCTCGTTTATTGTATTAATAACACAATCAAAATTGCATTACGCAGGGCCGCGTAGAGATGTTTCGTACGTGCGAGTAGCATGATAATCTCCTACATGGCTATGCAGGATTTATAACGTAATAATGTTCCGGAATTTACAACGTGAATTTTAATCTGTCTATAAAATTTAAAATTAGAAATGTCGACATACTGACAGTATAAACATAGAAAAATAATATCTAAAAGGCAAATATATATATATATATATATATGTTTTGAAAAAATAATTTTTTATTAATAAATAATATTGTAGTTAGTGCGAGATTTTTCTTTCGGCTATTATTATTATACAGTCACATAAAAATTTTAATATTTGAATATTTATATGCCTATATAATATATTATATATATACTCGTACATATATTTTAGACTGAATATAGCATAGGATATTCATTAAAAGAATAATATTCTAACTATATATAATATATGAAATATCATGTATGGAATATTTGTTTATCTCTCTATTGTATTTTATCTCTATTGTAAATTATAATGTATGATGAGATTATATAGGTATAAATTATATAATATATAATATTTGGTTGATTATGATGCATAATGATATTATTGTTATATAGCCTCTGCTTCTAGTTATTATCAATCGAAACATTATTATGTGTTTGCATAAAAAGCACAGAGATAGCACACAAAACATTCCAATCATAGATTATTTCAATATACATCTAAGGTTTTTATATTAAATATAAATCTAAAGTGTATAAACAGGCAATAAGAGCTTATACACTTTAGATTTATATTTAATATTACAGAGCCTTGTTAAACTCTTAATTTTTATATTAAATTATACTTCTTTTTTTTAGGATTGCTCACATTTATGATTATCCATCACGTACGATTACTTTCATAAACTAGTAATCATTATACTAGAAGCAATCAGAAGTTTATTATTCATACTAATGATGAGTTATAATTCTCGCGACATTTTGAAAGAAAATTATATTTTATATTTCATAATTATTACTTCGTTTTATTTGAAGAAAATTATTCTCTATTATTTTCTTTATTTGATATAAATCAAATCATATTTGAAAAAAATATAATTGATATTATTTTTACTGTATATTTTTATTGCTATACAATATAATAAATGTAATTTTTTAACATAATTTATTACTATAAATAACATATCATTAACATTATTTTGGAATCATGAAAAATATATTAAGTTTCTAAATTCTGATCTTTTTCGATTTTTATTATTATATTTACGCGGAATGAGAAAAGAGAATAAAACCTATATCTCTCTCGTTTTCTCTAGGCTTTTGCGGACATGATTTACTCCGCGGCTATATAATTTTATATGTTGCCTCAATTAAATAGAATAGATTAACCGTTGATACTTCCGCAGGCATCTTTAATATCCATTTTCAACGTTGAAAACAAGTTCAACGCAACAGTAGCCAGTAACGTTTTAACGTACGACATGCGAGTCGTCTTCCTGTTAGGTGAAATCGTTTGATTGCCGTCTTCCGCATTGGCACGCAATATATGTTACTTTTATATGTAAAAATATCCCGTTAGAAAGAAAACCATTGGAAAACCAAAATCTTTGATTTGCATTTAAGACGCGTTATTTTATTTAATATATATATTCGCGCTCTTTTTTCGCAATTGTTAATTATCAAATAATTTTTAATTAATCACAAAAATATATATGAAATGCATTAATTGATATCGGATAAAATTCTCATCATTGATATCTCGCGTAGAAAATAATTTTTGTGGAAAAATAAAAAGTAGATACATATTTAAATGTTATGTCAAGAAAAACACATGATCTCGATTGTGTTTCCACCATATTATAACGTGCAGCGGGATGTTTGAGCATCGTCTTCTAAGATTACATGCTTCAGGTACGCAAATGAGAGATGGTAATGAGTTGTTGGCCGATTCAGTGCTTGCGCATAATTATCTCGCGTAGAGATGTTGCGTGATGGCGAGTACACAGCTCTCGTTACGCGAGGCTTGTTTCATGCTACGTTCTTACATGGATGTTATATCCGCTTCTGTATTCGTGCGATCGCCTCGAACTTTATCGACACGAATGTCACACTCTCACGTTCTCGAAAGCACTTTCTCGTGTCTTCATTCTTAAAAATATATATCTTTACAAATATGAAAAATATTTTGCATTTTTTTCGGATCAAAATTATAATCAACCTTCATTAAAACAGAAGAAAAAAAATATATATAGAACAATTACTTTTTTGTTGGGTGTAAAAAATATTAGTTCTTGTTCAGTCATGTAACTGAATAACCGATTAATATAATGGATTTATAACAAGTTATGTAATCTATCGTTTGAGTAAGAAAAATATTTGTTCGATAACAGACACGCAATCTTTTTTTTTTTTGATCTTATCATATAATAATGGTAACGACAAAGTTTTGTGGGTTTACACGCACATTCCAAGGTACAAGGAATATATAACGCCGCGCGTCAGATAACAATTTCTCAGTTTAATATCGCTCTCTCACGTCTCTTCCATCATAAACTTCTTTACACGATGTTCTACAACTCGTTTTGTGTATACATTCCCGGCGTACCTGTACATCACATCAAAAATTTACATATTCAAGCATTACACACACTCCTGTCTGAGCTTTTTTTTATATCACCTCTTCTCATGAATTTACGATCTGTATAAATCTGCTTTTTATCTCTTCCCGGCAAATATCTCTATTTCTATTTCTTCTTATCGATTTCTTCTACCGATTTCGTCCTCGTTTTACCTTTCCTTATTTATATTCCACTTCTATCACATTCTTCGGTCCAATATAAAACGCCTCACGTTCGCATGACCCGAGCAGATTCTCGCTGTTTGTTCGCGGTTCGCACACGATGGCTAGAATGCAGAATCTATTATTGTCGGGCTTTACTCCCGGCTTGAACTTGATCGACGATTAAGGTTTAACGACACTCGTGAGGGAGCAATGAGAGAGCAAGGGTGCCCGCAGCGGCGTAGATGGATGTCTGTTCTTTTCGACCGCATTTTCTTTATATTCAGACCATTTTTCGTTGCGAAGCATCAGCAGAATACTTATGTTGTAAATATATCTTCCGTTTCAAAGTACGCTCGATATAAAATTATTTACCTCGCTGCTGTTTAAGTGTATTCAATTTATCATTAATAAAGCTATTTAATTTTAATTTTGATAATAAATCTGTGTCGTAGAAAATCCAATTCCTAGGGTGTATACACGCAATTTATATCTGCAATCAAATTAAGGGACAGGGGCCTTTCCTTTCTTTTCAATATTTACATCTTTGCGTATACATTTTTACACACGGCCTAAGGCCTAAGTTTACATGCACTCGTGCAATGCATTCTGCAACTCTTGCGGTTTCTTCGAGTACGAAGGAGATGGGGGGATAAGGAAGGGAGCCAAAGTGTCGCACAAAGATAAGGAAAGAGGGGATACTGAGGAGATACGCGAGTGAGAATGGAAGCAAAGGTGGGATGGTGCAAGGTAGAAACATCCCCGGAATGCAGTTACTTTCATTTATGGCCTAATCCTTAAGCTTCGTTCACACAGAGTGCACCGTTGCACCGTTATTCGTACATGTGATTGCCGACGTTTTCTCGGTTTCTTGAACCTGTCTTTTTCCCATTGCTATATATTATCTACGATTTTTGAAGAAGAGAACAGTCGCTCGTATTTTTGATATTTATTTCAAGTGAAATTATTCTATAGATATTGAACAAAAATGAGTAATGACGTCGAAATATCTCTAGGAGAGTAGACCTATTCCAAGCGGTGCTCTTAAAGCGGTTTCTCTATTCCTCTTCAGATATGGAAACTGGTAGACAGCAAGACGGGTTATCTTACGAGAAGTGGACTTTACAAAGGACTTGCTCTCGTCGCCTTCGCTCAACAAGGGAAGCAACCGAGCGATAAGCTGTTGGAAAATTCTGAATCTCAAGGTTAGTCGAATTAATCCTAAAATTGCTAGCTCTGAAATAAATTCAAACTTTCTAAAAATTACGACTTTTAATTTTATAGATATATTTATTTTGATTTATAATTAGTTTTTGTTAATAATTCGTTAAGATAATTCTGTGAGTAAAACAGTATTTGAATAAAAAAGACAAATATACAATTCTTCCAGAAAACATTTTTAAAGATGAATGTACTTTTATTAAAAAATATTTTTCCAATAAAAACTGTTTATATACTCTGATTATACATATATTTATATAATATATATTCCTGGCATTGTATGTTTTTGATTGACAAGAAATTTGGGCGACTATATATATTAGCAGAAAATTAATAAATGTCGATAATAATAATTGATGATTAATTATCAAATCAGAGATAATAAACGTCTCGCCAAATGCGAAGAAAAGTTATATATACGTATTTTGAATTTAATTTCTGTAATTTTTTAGAACAACTCTTACATTTTTTATAGCTTAAATAAGTAACTTATCTGCAAATTTCTGCCGTTAACATATCGTTGACATATATGGACTGCACTGAGAAAGGTCTTGAATAAATCTATTATCGGGCAGGTGTTTAGATAATATATGAATGTACCTCGCGAGCTATATCAAGAGACTTGTAGGAATTACCGGAGTCATTGACCAGCAAAATTATTGCCGCTTTTGCTTATCGCTAGAAAGTTCTGTATCTCCGTACCCTATCGCAGTTTGAGAAAATACGCTGCAACTTCCCGTTAGAATATTGTGTCACTGCTGCATGCAATAAAGAAACGAAATATACGAGTATTTATCATTATCTGTGTATTCAGTTTGAATTAATCTATATTGTTTCATATATGTATTTTTGTGTTAATAAAATTATATTAATTCTTACTTATATATACCTCTAATCTATCTAAAAAAATTTTATATAAATTGCTATTTATTATTATTGGTGAGTATGTTTTACTAAATTATTTTCACATTTTTTGCAAACTTGTCTCCTGTCATTCAGCCAAAAAAATTATATTAAAATTCAACAATTTGATTGAAAATGACTAGTTTCATGTCCCAGTGAAAACTCTTATTTTAAAACAATATTGTTTGTCCTCATTATATGTATAATGCCAAATTATAAATGCGTAGAAGGAAAGCGGCTTTATGATAGTGAATGGTAAGATTGTGGGAATGTAATAAGCGTTGTACCTAGCAAGGTATCGCGAGGTCAAGAGACTCTTTCGTTATCGAGGTTGCGGCGACGATGATTATTTGCCACGGCAAAGGAATAACAATGTCGTGGGATCTCGTCGAAGTAGAACGTATGGAGGAAAGGATACGAAGAGAGAAAATAATTCAAAAAATGAAACTCACCTACTCTATTTTCTTAGATATTTGTCGAATGCGTTAATCCAGTTTTGGTTTTATCCATTCTTTAAGTAGTAACGGTATTGCGAGAACAGACGAATCTGACGATGTCGAGTCTATTTAGTACAGATATTATTTAAATCATTATAATGTTTTAATTATTACCTTCCGATAAAACAATGGAAAAAATTAGGACATTTCTACAGTATTTAAAAACAGATAAAACTAATATGCATATAAAAATATATTCTCATGAAACACAGATAAATACATATTATTAATGAATATTTTCACGTTGTCTCTTTTAGATTATTATTAAATTATTTTCAATTAATTTTATTTGAAATTAATTTTATTTAAAATATTACTCATATGCAAAGTAAAATATACATGTGCATTTGTATATTTAAATATATATATTGGATTTATGAATATAAAGCAGATTTATGATAAATTTATGAATTTATGAACAAAAAAGTTAAAAGAAGAAATAAGTACATTTAAACATCCGAGATCGGAGAGGAGTACATCTTCGTGAAATTTAGAACATTTAATCATCCCCTGAGTTTAATTCGTTAAGCTTAATATATCTCAATGAAATTTTATTGCCACTTCATAATTGTACAATAGTAATCTCCCCACTGAATACGTCCGACCGACAACTGTCAAAAAATACATCCTTCGCTTGAGAGGATCTTCTTATTCACAGAATTACCCGTGCCCGTCCTGGGCGATCTGTCGGAAGTAACATTACTGGCGCAGAGGCTGCACAGAGGCAATCCCGCCAAGCTGAGTCACACATACTCAGATATCTGTAATCTCGACACTATCGAGGTCAACCTCGTTCCCGAGAAAAAGGGTATCTTCTTGAAGCACGTGGAATATCAAGTCACTAGTAAGGTACTACTAGAGTGTCTGTGTGATTATTTGTATAAAATAAGAGCAAATGTAATGCAAGATTAAGAATGCTATTTAGTTTCAAACTTGTAATAATATAATAATATAAGAGGATTATATCGCGTTGAAGAATATGAGATAGTATAATATAAAGTACATCTCGTGTTTTTTTAGAGGTTCAATTCTGTGGTCTACAGACGTTATAATGACTTCGTGTCGCTGTACGATCTCCTCTTGGCCCGGTTTCCTTACAGATTGATACCGAAATTACCACCAAAGAAGATCGTGGGAGGTGAATACATACATATACATATGCATACTAAAAAATGCGAAAAATGCGTATATATTATAATATCACAATGTTATAATATGATTAATGTAATGAACTTTCGAGGAATTAGTTTTTCATTTCACCTCCTTTTACATATATAGCGGACTCGCAATTTCTCGAGGAAAGGCGGCGTTCTCTATTGCGATTTCTTACGCTGATCGCTCGCCATCCGGTGGTGAGCGGGGACCCGATTGTACAGTTCTTCTTCACGTTTACCGGCGACGAGACGCAGCATAAGATACGCGAGGTATTTAGACGCGTGCCGGACGAATTCGCGACGTCGGAACTGTCATCCAGAGCGAAGGAGCTGCTGCCGCCCGAGACGTTGACCGAGTTCGCGAACAGCCGCGATCAGATACGCGTCATACTTTTCGGGATCTCGCGGCTGAAGCACATCGCCGACAATCTGGCAATCAGATCGCACAATTACGCCGTGGACATGGCCGAGCTCGGCAATCAGCTGAGCACTTTGGCAGCGGAACAACACGGCACCGGTACCTGGGTCACCGGCGGTTCCAGTCTCTGGCAAGATATGAAGAAGGGCTTTCATGTAATCTCAAAGTAAGAATTATAGATTACGAATCGCATTTGAGAGTTTATCTTACCGTTTTTCAAAAATTCATCAAATAAATCATATTTATATGCGAATAAAAATCATGGAATAATTCTGTGAAATTCATAGATGGTTCGATACATTTCACAGAAGGATGAAATCTGATTTAAACAATTATTTTCTTCATATTTGATCACAAAGAGAATTTTCTCTTAGAATTTACCCTGAAAATCATGGTAATCGTGGACAATATATGCTATTGGGAGAATTTTATAAGAGTTTCTCTGATTAATATCTATATACCATAATAAAAATATTAATATCTAGCACAATAAGATATAAAATATACTCGATTAATTTTACGTAAAATTTACTATGTACCTATTAATATTTTTATTGTGGTAAATATTAATCAGAAAAGCTCTTATAAAATTCTTCCAATACCACATTGTCCACGATTACCATGATTTTCAGGGTAAATTCTAAGAAAAAATTCTCTCCGTGTTATCATTTACATTTAATTTCACGATTAATTTCCCTGGCTTAATAAAGCTTTTGATGGAAATAAAATATGTAGAGAATAAACGAAGCTAAAAATATTTTAGAGAATTCAACCTGCTGTCAAGCAGAGCTCTCCAACAGGCGGTCAGAGAGGAGACCATGGTTTGCGAGAGATTGAATCTCCTGCTCGATATTTTAGTCGCGCACAGAATGCTGTGCGAGAGACACGAGCGAGGTGTCAACGCCGATCATCAACGCGCCCTGTCTACTATGTTGTCTCTCAAGAAGCGGCAGATGCAGGCGTTATTCGTGGAACCGACGTACGTATACCTTATTTAAGATTCATCAGCCGGCAAAGCGTGACTCTCGCGCTCATCCGCATGAAGCGCGTAATTTAAGCAGCATTTAATCGCGCGATGTCGCAGTTGTATAATTACTCGCCATCAACTTAAAGACAAATCGGAGGGAGAGGGAGAAGAGAGACTCATTATTGCAAATTTAACTTCTTGCGCGTAATTTGTTACGTAATCCGTCATAGTTGGCGAACGCGCGAACGGTGCGAACCATAACGCGTACTCATTTCGAGAAGATTGCATGCGATTTTATCGTATATATACTCAGGCCGACACCGTCGAGTACCTCGAGAACAAGATGGTCTCCCAGGAATCGGTGATCGCCAACGTCGAGCTGAGAAATTGCTTCTCGTTGCTCTGCCTGCAAATGGAGACTCAGCTCGTCCACGCACATTTAGAGATACTCGCAACCGTCTTACAGAGCCTCGTGAGCGTACAAATCCGCGGACATTCCGAGGTAAGTTTTTATAGTTATATCGCCAAGATTCTCGATCGATTAAAAACAATGTTATATAATTTGTTGATTAATAAATTTGCTCATTTTGCAAACGAACGCAGCGATATCGGTGAGTCGTTACATAATACTTTTTTTATTTCTTTTTTAATTATTTTTGTTCTCGTATTACGTATCATCTCTTCGTGATACACAGCTCCGTTGTGTTTATTGCACGGTATTATCTTTCCTTACATATATCCTAAGAAAGCATCTTTACTATTAGGACATTTGCATAAATCTCTGAAATCGCAAACGGATAGAGATTGCTGATGCAAATGTTTGTTTATAGTTGGCTGAAGTGTGGAAACTAATCGAACCGACGATTACTAAGTGTTTACCCGAGAAGTTGGCAAGCGGATCCAACGAAGGATAGCATAGCAAAGTTTCGTGTTTGTCCCAGCAGATCATGTGCTGTCAATAATTGATAACCGAAACTTGTATACAAATTTTAATAAACATACACGGTGCATATATATTATGTGATTGTCGAAAGAAGGAAAAAGAAATGTAAGAAAATCTCTAATTTGTCCAGTGACTTTGTAGATTGCATTTACGCAAATATTAATATGAATTTTATATGTTAATCGATATATAAAATTATATATATATACGTACATTCTCTCTTGTACTATTTTGTATATTGCTTAGTTGTTTATATGTACCATCGATATTTTTACTAGATATTTATCTTTTATAATTATATAACGACAAGAATCTCGAATATGTATAGCGCGTTCAATTTCCAGACATTCCTTTTTGTTATGTACTTAATATATTTTATGAATTAATGAATATTTTTCATTCTCTAATAATTGTTATATCGCTATGTACATAAAGACTTATAGGTTGTATATATGTCGTATCGATATAAAGTGCCTAAACAATTGTAAATATATACATACATAATTCACACAAAAATTGATATATAATATATATAATTTATATATATAATATAATATATATATATATATATTTATATTATATATTTATATATATATAATTATATATATAATATATATATATTATATATTATATATATATATATATTTTTATATATATTAATATACATATAGTTTGAAAATCTTTTATATGTATATATATATCATGCCATATATATATACATACATATATGCCATGTTGACCATGGATACTCTCAATTATGTATATATGAAGTGTCTCAGAATTATCGGTATTCTATTCAAAAAATATTGTTTCAGTCTATTTTTACAGCGCAAGTTTGATGTAAAAGTTTATATGTTTGATGTAAAATTCACAAGTTTAAAAATGAACAATAATTTTGAGACGATTTGCATATAATACTCATGTTTATAATATTACACGATATGAAATATATTGTTATTTTTAAAATGTCTATTTTCAATTTTTCTGGATTAAATATTTTACGATTAAAATTCTGATTATTTGAATGAATAGTTAAGATGCAAAATTTTAATGATAATAAAAGAGATCTCGAGTTATGTGTCGCATTTTATCGATGAAGAAAATATCACAACGCTATATATAATATAATAAATTTGTTTAAGGCGAAGAATATGTTTTCTCAATTTATTCATATAAATACGCAATTTATATTATAAATATGCAATCGCAATTTGCAACAGCGAATTTGCAAAAATTATTTCGCGCTTGCAGAGATAACGTAGTCCACTACACCAGCTTGAACATCAATGTCACAGATGTCGGCACGGTGATCTCAAAGAACGCGTTTAAAATTATAGAGCCTTAGCGAGCTTATACACACATCTTTTATTATTTTAATTATTAAAATTAATTTTAAAAAGATGCAAAAATTTTTATGCTTTCCTAAGAGAATTTTTTTTTTTTTTGAAAAACGTTTTTCGATCTAAGCAATTCCTGTTTTTCACGTTTTATTTGTCGCAGAAGGACACGTGTTACCGCAAAACGTTAATTATTGCTAGATCACCAAAGTGGCAATTTACTATCGTGTAAGGACCGACGAGACCCAGAGCTAGCACATCGTTTCCTCGTAAATAGGCGATCGAACGAATCGTATCCGCGCGCGCATCAATTCGAAATAAGGTCCTTAAAAGCTTCATTTAGATCCTCCCTCTTGTCTATCGCACGGGCGAACAGTAGCCGGTCCTCGGATGACCAGCATTTTAGATTAAAGGCGGTTAACCAGTCCTTTCTCGTCTACGTACTCGTCGAGGAGGGAAACACATTGGAGTTCCACCCAGACGGAAATAACGTTTATCTCTGACATTTCTTTCCGAAACGATTTGCGCGTCGGAGACTGAATATTGGACAGTTCGTATTGATTCAAAGATGCATCAGATGGATTTTTAACTATCTTTTCAAAAAATTACGGTGGATTTTTCGTATTCGAGAAATCAAATCCCAAATTGTTTCCTCTTGACAAGATATATGTTTGAAATTGTAAAATAATTATATATTGTGCGATTGAATATATTATTATGAATTATTATTATTATATAACGATTTATATAATTCTCTCTCTTTGCTCCTCTTCAATCGTTATTCTACAAAGATCAATAGAGCATAATTAGCGTTGCAGTTTGATGTTAATTGGTACCGGGACGCGTTTCTTGGTCGGCCCTTCGCCACGTACAAAAGAACCCTTCCGCCGACCATTGCGGAGAGCTCTTTCGTCGCACTTGAATGTCAACATCATCAGATAACGTTCCGTTCTCGACGACCAATTGAGAACTCGAGAATAAACGACTTCTCTTCCTCTCCCATCCCTTTCTCTTTTTCTTTCTCCGCGCGAGCGGAGAATCTCGTCCTCGAAAAATCGAGCGGAAGGAGAAGACGCGTACGATGCTCGAACAAGAAAGGGCGACCGGCGACGGGCTACTGAACATTGCAAGGGCAATTTTCCTCGACAATGTCGGCCACTTTGTTTACGTCCGTGTGCGTGCTTTTGAGAAAGTCACGCGTGACTCAGGTGTATCCCGTTTCTTCCGCCGGCGCCGTTCATGTCAAAGGAATTCCGGCCTCCGGAAGAGTGCCGGTACCAGTTTTCAGGTAATGACGAAGAGGAACGGCCGGATGCGCGCGCGCGCGCCGTAGTAACACAGTGCGTTAATTAGGCGCCTCAGGCAATACCGACTAATTCGCCCCCTTTGTGCGCTTTCTCACCCCCGGCCAGCGCAACGCTCTGCCTATTTACGTTACTTTTCTCTCGCTATCGTATCCTGCGTCTCGTTTAATTTCATCATTTAAATAGAGTACCTTGAAGACCTCGGACGGTAGACTTTGTTTGTAGCTTTTTTTTTTTTTAATTTGCGATTGCTTGAATTTATATACTGTTGCCGTTGAAGTTCCTATAGACGTTGAACTAAGACTCGAAAAATTGCACTAAGTTTATTGACATGTGAGAATTTTATGCAATTATATCCATCGCGTATATATATAATCCTCATTTTTGTTAATCTGTTTATCGTTTCGGTTTGCACAGCAAACAAACAAAAATGAGATATCAATATAATAATTCTATCAATTTCACTCATATTTAATTGAAAAACAAAAAAAATTTGAAATATTAATTCAATAAAATTTTATCAATACCACACATTTAATTAAAAAAGATTTATTATTTTTTATTTGATATATATATATATATATATATATATATATTTCCCCCTTGATTTTATGAAACGATGCTCGAGTTTTTTCTTCGAATAAAGCGAGCTGTTTATTTTTCAAGAACCACCCTATAAATCTCTCTGGCGATTCATCGAGGGCGAAAGCGAGATGAAAATAAAAGCGAATGATTTTCGGCATCAAAGCTTGAATATTGTCAGGCATCAGTTAAGTAATTAGACTCGAGATTTATTCGTTTGTCATAAAGTAAAGCAGAATGTTTTCATAAAATGAAATTCTGTAACTTTCAGCTTATACAAATATTATACATACAACTTTATTATTATTAATAATTTAGTAATAATTTAATAATAATTTATAATTAGCTAAAATAATACCTGACTGTATTTAACAAATTTTCTAGATTGATAAACTCACATAAAGAGTAAAACGAAATTTTCCAACAAGATACCGCGAACATAGTAGGTATATTTAATTTCACACCATATGACAAAATATTATCAAAGAGAATTATAATTGAATATATAAGAGAAACTGTTAAATATTGTGTATATTGTTAAAAATTATGTATATTTTTAACGTGTCTTTTAGCTGCTAGTTACATTTTTGTATTAAAGGACTTCTGAATTTAAAGGGCTTCCTAGAATCCCGCGGTTATTCTCACGCTGTAATAGTGCATAATCCTGCATCAAAATGCAGCAAAGTATAGAATCGTCTCGTTATCGTGACCAGCTGGGCGAGTGCGGCTCGTTAAGAGGATTCTCTTTGACAATCACCTTTTTTCTCTTTTATGTTCATTATTCCTCTTCTCTCGTTTGCAAGATTTTACATAAGAAAACTCATACGATTAAAGTTGCGCATTTACTATATCTCACAATCGGACGTACCTATACATATATCGGGAAAGCGCAATTAAAGTCTGTCGGTCTGTTTATTTGAAATAATGTTTTGCCAGAAAATTGTACGTTACAGTCGTCGGCACGTGCGCGATTAGAACTCGATCAGAATCGTGTATTTGCTGAAATCGACTTACCAGATTTCTTGTTTCTACTAGAACGGCAACATGGACGAAATCGTGTTAATGCGGTATAACATACTTGTTCTATTTGCGCGATTAAATTCAATTTAATCACCAGATATTGCGTCGCTGCAACTCGATAAATTCCACGGACACAGAATGATAATCGCTAAATAAAGTTTGTTAATTAAGTTTGTTAAGATTGCCGATGCAATCAGACTGTAGAAATATTATATCTATTCTGAACATAGTATACTTTAATAACGAACTTCATAATCGAGGCTTTGCTTAGAAGAACCGCGAGCCAAGTACGCAACGATACACCGCGGATCAGTCGCAAATCCATTCGTTTCATTTTGCTGGATTTTACAGAGGGTATAGGAGGATGAAAGCTGGAAGGAATCGACGGTGGTGGAAAATTTTGCCGGGCTATACTTTTATACTTTCGTATATTGCGCGCGCGAAATTCGTTGGCAAAAGTCATAACCGTACATACATATATATGAAAAGAGCGGCTGCTTTGGAAATTTTACGAATAACTGAACGATAATTTAGACGAAAAATTTGCACCTTTGACTGTCACATTTCAAGCGCAAATGAATAATAATAGCATTAGTAGAGACAGTTGTCATACACGCTCAATGATAATTGAATTTTCTTTTATGTTCTCGAAAAAAATTTAAAGATTAATTTAATTCTCTAAAAAACTAAAAATTTAATTCTCCCTGTTCAAGGTATGTCATATTTTTGAAATAATGATTATTTTTTGAAAGGAAATAGATTTTTCCATTTTTCTCTAGTTGAGAAAAATCGAGAGCTCTTGTTATCTCTGTTAAATAAATCATCTAGAATAATTGAAAGATACATTCTGGAAAGAAGAAATGCTTTTCATTTAATTTCATGTAAATTATGATAAGAGATGACATAGATAAGTAGAAAACGTTTCGCATTAAATAATTCATAAGAACCTAGAAAGGCTTTATTTCGTGTCTGCGAATATATCAAGATTTCTGTGGATTATATGAAAGAAATATGCTTTTACGCAACGTATTGCAACACGATTACATTTACAGATTTACGTACGTATAATTGCGGATTTATAATAATTTGCCTTGTGCATCTTTATTTTGCAATATTTAAATAATATCGAAGTTGTAATAAAATTGCG